GTTTTTCCATTCTTACAGAAGAGTGTAGTGGTTTTGTTTTTCCATTCTTACAGAAGAGTGTAGTGGTTTTGTTTTTCCATTCTTACAGAAGAGTGTAGTGGTTTTGTTTTTCCATTCTTACAGAAGAGTGTAGTGGTTTTGTTTTTATTCTTACAGAAGAGTGTAGTGGTTTTGTTTTTCCATTCTTACAGAAGACTGTTAGTTTTTTTTTCTTCTGTTCTTATAGAAGAGTGTAGTGGTTTTGTTTTTCTCTTCTTACAGAAGACTGTAGTTGTTGTTGTTTTCTTCTGTTCTTATAGAAGAGTGTAGTGGTTTTTTATTCTTACAGAAGAGTGTAGTAGTTTTGTTTTTCTATTCTTACAGAAGAGTGTAGTAGTTTTGTTTTTCTTCTATTCTTATAGAAGAGTGTAGTGGTTTTTTTATTCTTACAGAACAATGTACTGCTATGGGTCCACTAATTGACAAGGAAGTTGATAGGATTGACCACCACCATGCATCTTTAGCAGCAGTCAGTAAACAGCTGATGGAAGCTCTTGGCATGTACCATGATTTGATGAGGGAGTTCATTCCACCAACTCCCTATGGAACCTATCCACCACATGATTCTCGCATGATGTCACCACCACCCCATGGACAGGTGAACAGATGTGTACTCTAGTCCTTCTGTGCTGGACCACTTAGGATAATATATCTAGCTGCTTTGATACCCCTAACTCAAAGTGTAAAATTTTGAAATATGAAGTTTTTCACATGTACAGTGATGCTGTTGAAACCTTCATGTTGAATCTGTAGTTTGAATTTGTAATAATTTTATTCTAGTAATCTCATGAGAAATTATGTTATTTAAACTATAATAACCTAACTATGAATTGATAGGTAGATTTTTTTTGGAATAAGGTCCAGTATCTTTACTTTCCACTATGACATTTCTGAAAGATTATTCACTGTTAAGCCAAACGTCTGCTGTATGCCATTGATGGTCATTCTCTTCAGTGTACATTGTTGATAGTCATTCTCTTCATTGTACGGCATTGATAGACATTCTCTTCATTTTATGGCATTGGTAGTCATTCTCTTCATTGTACGGCATTGATAGTCATTCTCTTCATTGTATGGCATTGATAGTAATTCTCTTCATTGTACGGCATTGATAGTCATTCTCTTCATTGTATGGCATTGATAGTCATTCTCTTCATTGTACGGCATTGATAGTCATTCTCTTCATTGTACGGCATTGATAGTCATTCTCTTCATTGTACGGCATTGATAGTCATTCTCTTCATTGGACGGCATTGATAGTCATTCTCTTCATTGGACAGCATTGATTGTTATTCTCTTCATTATAGAACATTGATAGTTATTCTCTTCAAATTACGTTGTTAAAACTTATGTTTTAAATCTCTGTTACAGTTTAGTGGTTTTTAAAAAGTGTCGTTAGTTTGTTTTTATATGTATATTTTAAATAGACAATACTGAGATGAGGTGTTCATACATGTAATCCTCCTGTATTCACAGATTGTATGCTGTTTTTGGTTTAAAGGGTTTACTGGTATGTAGATATGTCATGGTGTTGGTTTAGAGTTGTTTATAGCTAGTACACAGGTTACTTTGGTTTTATATTCTAACAGCTGATGTATAATGGGCCACCCAATACGTACATGGTACAGCCAGTTCAGGGACAATACCCCTACCCTCATATGGAGCAGACATATCCTCATCCTACTATGGCAACAGGTAAATTTGAAGTCCAAATATTGTTCTTTTCTGATAAGTTAATTATTACTAAAATGCAGCTTTAATAATTATGTGAAGTTTGCCAAATCAGGAATCATGTTGGTTTTGTTTATTTAGGTCTTCAGAGCTCTATGCAACATTCAGCTGTACTTCCAACACAACACCAGTCTAACATTCCCACATCATCCCTTCCAGGAATACAATCAGCCTCCCAGGCTCAGTATTCTCTACCTCACAATACACCCTATTCAAGGTAAGGTCTTGTTCTGAGAGTTTGTATTCTCTACCTCACAATACGCCCTATTCAAGGTAAGGTCTTGTTCTGAGAGTTTGTATTCTCTACCTAACAATACACCCTACTCAAGGTAAGGTCTTGTTCTGAGAGTTTGTATTCTCTACCTAACAATACGTCCTACTCAAGGTAAGGTCTTGTTCTGAGAGTTTGTATTCTCTACCTAACAATATGTCCTACTCAAGGTAAGGTCTTGTTCTGAGAGTTTGTATTCTCTACCTAACAATACGTCCTACTCAAGGTAAGGTCTTGTTCTGAGAGTTTGTATTCTCTACCTAACAATACGCCCTACTAAAGGTAAGGTCTTGTTCTGAGAGTTTGTATTCTGTACCTAACAATACGCCCAACTCCATGTAAGGTCTTGTTCTGAGAGTTTGTAATCTCTACCTCACAATACGCCCTACTCCAGGTAAGGTCGTGTTCTGAGAGTTTGTATTCTCTACCTCACAATACATCCTACTCAAGGTAAGGTCTTGTTCTGAGAGTTTGTATTCTCTACCTCACAATACGTCCTACTCAAGGTAAGGTCTTGTTCTGAGAGTTTATTATCTACCTAACAGTACGTCCTACTCCAGTTAAAGTCTTGTTCTGAGAGTTTGTATTCTCTACCTAACAATACGTCCTACTCAAGGCAAGGTCTTGTTCTGAGAGTTTGTATTCTCTACATAACAATACGTCCTACTCAATGTAAGGTCTTGTTCTGAGAGTTTGTATTCTCTACCTAACAATACACCCTACTCCAAGTAAGGTCTTGTTCTGAGAGTTTGTATTCTCTACGTAACAATACGCCCTACTCAAGGTAAGGTCTTGTTCTGAGAGTTTGTATTCTGTACCTAACAATACGCCCTACTCAAGGTAAGGTCTTGTTCTGAGAGTTTGTATTCTGTACCTAACAATACGCCCTACTCAAGGTAAGGTCTTGTTCTGAGAGTTTGTATTCTGTACCTAACAATACGCCCTACTCAAGGTAAGGTCTTGTTCTGAGAGTTTGTATTCTGTACCTAACAATACGTCCTACTCAAGGTAAGGTCTTGTTCTGAGAGTTTGTATTCTATACCTAACAATACGTCCTACTCAAGGTAAGGTCTTGTTCTGAGAGTTTTTATTCTCTACCTAACAATACGCCCTACTCAAGGTAAGGTCTTGTTCTGAGTTTGTATTCTGTACCTAACAATACGCCCTACTCCAGGTAAGATCTTGTTCTGAGAGTTTGTATTCTCTACCTAACAATACGTCCTACTCAAGGTAAGGTCTTGTTCTGAGTTTGTATTCTCTACCTAACAATATGCCCAACTCCATGTAAGGTCTTGTTCTGAGAGTTTGTATTCTGTACCTAACAATACGCCCTACTCAAGGTAAGGTCTTGTTCTGAGAGTTTGTATTCTCTACCTTACAATACGTCCTACTCAAGGTAAGGTCTTGTTCTGAGAGTTTGTATTCTCTACCTAACAATACGTCCTACTCCAGGTAAGGTCTTGTTCTGAGAGTTTGTATTCTCTACCTAACAATACGTCCTACTCCAGTTAAGGTCTTGTTCTGAGAGTTTGTATTCTCTACCTAACAATATGTCCTACTCAAGGTAAGGTCTTGTTCTGAGAGTTTGTATTCTCTACCTAACAATATGTCCTACTCAAGGTAAGGTCTTGTTCTGAGAGTTTGTATTCTCGACCTAACAATACGCCCTATTTGAAGTAAGTTTACCTTCTGCTGCTTAGTATTATAACGAGTATAGAAACATCTAGTGGCTTAAACTTACTGTTTTACTCAGTGTTTATACAACATATGAAAATAAAAAGTGGAATAAAGAAATTAATGCATTTTTAATTTCTTATCTTATTTTTTAAGTAATTTTACAAATGTAAGATATATTTAAACTGTTTCTATGCAATAAATTACTTAAAACATTCCTGTTGCTCTCAGAAATGTAGCATATATTTAAAATGTCTTTATATAACAAGTTATTTAAAACATTTCTACAATTTGTGGGAAACAGTGCCCCTGTTAGTTACTCTTCACCCGTCAGTCCACCTTCTGTGTACGACACAAACGTAAAGGAAGGACAGTTCCAAGGAATGAGAGGTGAAGCTGGCCATTTTGCTCCACACGTCCCCCAACCCATGTCACCACAGCAGCAGCCTTTGTTATGAGGCTGACAAGTGTGGGGTATTGAACATAACGGTTGACTTGGAGAATTAATTGCAGTTTCTACAGTGTATCCTCCATACCAAATGAATGTGATTATTCTTCTGAAGATATTGATTTGTAGTTATTTTGATTCTAGTTCAAGCCAATTGAATATCTTGTACCATACTCTATATGTTCATTTAAAGTAAATATATTGAATTTGTTAGTGCTGATTTGGTTATGATTGTATTTTTATTGATACTGTTTATTTCAGAACTGTACAGTAGTTAAAACACAGTGATTAATTTTAGCCGTTAATAACACTGGTGGCTATAGTGATGTGTACTTTATTTCATCCTCACTGATGTAAGTTATTAATATTTGTCAATGAAACCCTAGGAACTGAGGAGGAGATTTTTCAATGTTCATTTTGATTTCAGTTCACTAAAGAATAATAATTGCATATTGCTGAAGAGTGTGCTTCTTAACTTGAGTGTATAAGTTATAAGTTTTCATGAAAAAGTCTGTCTGGAGGTTTTCAGTTTTTGTCATAAAGGAAACTTTACAAGATTTGATATACATAATGATAATTTTCTTGAAGTGAACAGAATGTTCTTGATTTCAGTGTGAAATGGCAATATTGATAATAGTATTTGTGTAATGTTTGTAGAGATTCTACAAATAATACTGAGTTAAATAGAGATTATTATGAATACTGATAACATACAAAATGTTTCTTCCCAAATTCAAATATAACTTTAAATATAAAAATCTTATATGTATCTTTGTATTATTTGATAATTCACAGTTCATAATATTTTAATTTTACTGATGTTGCTATATACCAGCAACTCCTGAAATGCTAACTTACATGCTTTTAAGTTAAGCCTTTCTATTTTAATTATTTTTAAACACTCAAGAAATCTGCCAGATATAAATAACAAACATAATCTTGCCAATACAGTTCTTTGAGTAATTAATTTATAGTTCTGTTTCACTGCTCTTGAAAATAGAAAATATTCTGATATAATATTCAAAGTAATTTTACTTTTTCAAGTAGTAACTATATTGATGATAATATTATCTTTAGTATAAAAATCTATTTTGTTTTTATGTAATGAGAATGAGTTACTTGGGTCTTTTCATGATAAATGTACAAATACTGAAGTATGATCAAACATAAGCCAGCTTCCTATAAATATCTTTTAAAATTCACTTGATCAATATTCTGTTTACTATTTATGTTTGTATTTCTCAGGTTATTTCACTGTAGCAATTTTTTAAATAAAAAACCTAACAGTATTCTTGTATATAGGTGCATATAATACAGAAAGATGTGTTTCCTAATCAGAAGAATTTATTGACCATCACAGATCCTGTTGAGGTGCAACCTTTTCTCATAATAAATTTATTTTGATTTCTATAAGCTATAATTATATGAGCTTCTTGGATTGTGTAATGATTTATGAAAATATTCTGTAACATGAACATTAATTCCAGAATCCATCTTCTGATAATATATTAAACTACCAGCTCTATGTACAAGACAAAATGCTATTAATCCTAATATCTTCATCTTCTGATAAAATACTATCCTCACAAGGTCTCTTTATAGGACAAATTCTAGTATCTTCATCTTTTGATAAAATACTATCCTCACAAGCTCTCTTTATAGGACAAATTGTAGTATCTTCATCTCTTGATAAGATACTATCCTCACAAGCTCTCTTTATAGGACAAATTGTAGTATCTTCATCTTCCGATAAAATACTATCCTCACAAGCTCTCTTTATAGGACAAATTCTAGTATCTTCATCTTTGAATAAAATACTATCCTCACAAGCTCTCTTTATAGGACAAATTCTAGTATCTTCATCTTCCGATAAAATACTATCCTCACAAGCTCTCTTTATAGGACAAATTGTAGTATCTTCATCTCTTGATAAAATACTATCCTCACAAGCTCTCTTTATAGGACAAATTGTAGTATCTTCATCTTCTGATAAAATACTATCCTCACAAGCTCTCTTTATAGGACAAATTCTAGTATCTTCATCTTTTGATAAAATACTATCCTCACAAGCTCTCTTTATAGGACAAATTCTAGTATCTTCATCTTCTGATAAAATACCATGCTCACAAGCTCTACCTCCAGGACAAAATCACAATTCACACAGAGAAGAATTGTAGTTGCAGTATAACTGCATATTACAAATAATAAATCACTTGTGGTTTCTCTAGGGTTTAATGTTATCATCAACTCCTCCAGTTTCTATTAATGAATACAATTGTAACAAAATATTTTATGGTTCACTATTCAAAACTAATCAGTGCATTACTGAATATACTAATAGATACTACCTGCACTACTGGTGAGACTGTATTGAACAATAAAATATTCAGTTAAAACAGTAGACTACAGGAATATAACAGTAACTGTAATGATGTAGATACCTGTAGTCTACTGTTTT